TATTCACTCAGAAATGTGCGAACACCGATCGAATATATATATATATATATATGAGAAGGCAAGGGGATCAAGGGAACCAAGGATTTAATATCCCAACGTTTCGGAATTAGACAAGTTTCCATTGTCAAATGTGGTAAATGCACGAATCTTCACAGTATTTATTAGTTAAAGTAAGGTGGGATGATGTCGTGCGGTCTTTATATATATTGTAGCCCCGACTTCTTTTTTAAGTTGGCTGAATTACCTTTCATCTTCTACACGTCATCCATCAATCCAGCTAAATTTGCTGAAGGCGTACGAATGCGTACGCATTCCACAACTGCTAAAATTAGCAAACTAAGAAAAATTGGCCTTTTAAACTAATAACGGGAATTACCACTTTCTTATACATTTTAAGTTGGGTAATTTACATAATCTTCCTACTTTTTAACTTCTTTATACTTCTTCCTAGTTGGTGTTGGTGGTAGTACTCAAAAATATCTCTCAGTTACCTCGCCCGAGGTTTGGTTACACAACCACCTGCGCGCATGCATTCGCCGTTGGTCGGGTGGGGGTTTAGCGATGGTATAAGAGATCATTTTAGTTTCTTCTCCCATTGCTTGAGTACGCGACGCAACTTGCCTTCGTAACTTTGTTATTCATCATAAATATTGGGATCTGATTTGTTCGCTGACATGCCCTGCCCGTCCTCTACCCGAAAATCAGGTATGCGTGAGACAGCCGGACGCGCTTTACTCTTTCCCCAGACGATCCCCCTACCTTACTTTGTTTGTCCATAAATACTGATTTTGTTCAACCTACTTACCGAAAACCTAGCAAAATAAAATATTTCAAAAGCCTTTGCCTAAATAATGAGTCCTTACTCGTTCCTTCTTATGTAATTGACTGTCTGGGCCATGACCTTGGAATGACCGAAACATGTCAACTCGCTGCCAATAAAAATGAATTTCCACAACAAAAGCCCAGAATCAATACGTCTAAAAGTAATGAAAAAACTTTCTTTAAAAAGTTGCTTCTTTAAAAAGTGCCTTAGTTAGATATTTTTAAGTCAAATATCTTGCTGCCACACATCTTTCGAAGATAAAGCCAAGATCAAAATGGGCTATTTTGACCATTTTTTTACTTTCCCGAAAACTTGAGATAGATACTATGCTGAAAATTAAAAATCTTACATTTTGCATGTAAACCAGATTAGTTTTTGATACTTTCTTTTACTTCAGGAAACCGTTCTTTGAGTTTAAATAGATAACAGAGTTACCCAAAATATCCATCAATATCTTTTAACATGAGAATATTTTATCTGTTCTATTGCAAGTTCTTATATTCATTGATTTATTTCTATATTTTCTGTACCTTTGGACGGAGTTACTTAACACCCTTTCTGAGAAAATTAATGCAGTTCCCTGTTAGTTCATGTGAAATCAAATAGGACCAGTAATTTCGGCGTAATTAAACGCATTCTGGTCTCTTGTAAGTTATTTTAAGGGCACAAAAAAACAAATTTCTAGAGCAAACATTTGCTAACTGAATTCATCTTTTTTGCTGATAATAATGCTTTATTTCATAAGTACACTAGCCTCACTCTCATCGACGGTGCACACATTTTTCCATTTTGTGAAAAGATATAATTAAAAAAGTTCTGGCTCTTCATGAATGTTCTTTTATGGTGCAAAAGGCACAAACAATAATTTATTTTCTGCAGCATTTAATAGCGTAGGACATTCCTCGGATATCAACAGACGCTGAATTTCGCCCACTTTCGCCTCTTTTTTCTCCCAATATATTGATATAAACAGAATTCACTTCTACTTAACAGGATTTTGAGCTTCAAGTCAACCCAAGGAACTAAATAAACAACTTAAACAAGGCAAAAATCACGAGTTGGGCAGAATTTAATGACGTCATGATATTTCGTGACCTCTCAGTCATCTGCGATTGGCCGTTGTCCATTTAATAAGCAAATTAACTGTCCAATTAAGTGTCAATCTCGATGGGTGAAACATGATAGGTAAAGGGAGCAGAAACACTTAGTCATAGATGTGGGTGCATGGTGAGGGGTGGAGGAGGGGGGAGGTAATTGTCACAGCATAGCAGTTCATGAAACCCAGCAGGACGTGGTTTAAAAAGGGGGTGGGGGTTGCGGCAGGTGCAGGCGACAGGGTAGCAGTCAGTCCTTGGGGTGATCAGAAGGCGTAAGCGGGAATGAGTTTATCGATCGGTACGAGGGCAATGCGAGGTTGATTACATGGTCGAGCTGCTTTCAGAGCTCTCACCGTATTGCAGCGGCCTCTGCAAAACGTAGAAAAAGCCCGGTTGTCGCCCGAAGTATGACTTTAAATGCAGTTGTTTGATCGATTGTATGGTCAGTGTCCACTGAATGCTAAGTGGTTGAACTCTTGGGTACTTTGTGTTCCGCCCTGAGCAACCACTTCGGAATTTGTTCAGCTGGCGGCATTGCCAACTGCATTTGCGGGTGCCCGATGTATTTGCAACCGCAACTACAGGTGAAGTTGTAAACATAGTTTGAAGTGACGTGCATAGGAGAGGGTC